GGATGTTGGCAATTTGATCTCTGGTTCCTCTGCCTTTTCTAAAACCAGCTTGAACATCTGGAAGTTCACAGTTCACGTATTGCTAAAGCCTGGCTTGGAGAATTTTGAGCATTATATTACTAGCGAGTGAGATGAGTGCAATTGTGTGGTAGTTTGAGCATTCTTTGGCATTGCCTTTCTTTGGAATTGGAATGAAAACTGACCTTTTCCAGTCCTGTGGCCACTGCTGAGTTTTCCAAATTTGCTGGCATATTGAGTGCAGCACTTTCACAACATCATCTTTCAGGATTTGAAATAGCTCAATTGGAATTCCATCATCTCCACTAGCTTTGTTCGTAGTGATGCTTCCTGAGGCCCACTTGACTTCACATTTCCGGATGTCCAACTCTAGGTGAGTGATCACACCATTGTGATTATCTGGGTCATGACGATCTCTTTTGTACAGTTCTTCTGCGTATTCTTGCCACCTGTTCTTAATATCTTCTGCGTCTGTTAGGTCCATATCATTTCTGTCCTTTATCGAGCCCATCTTTGCATGAAATGTCTTATCATTAGCCTAACTGGAAGCCAGAACTTTTTCACCCCAGGTAATGTGAAGCTACCTAGCATGTGAAGTTGGTAAATGGCTCATCCTGACATTTTGGGGGCTGCAGTTTCTACTTTTATTTTGTTCCCCCAATATGTTCTTCCTTGTTCTTTAAATTCTTGATGGTCCCTCAGGTGTCTTCCTCTTCTGTTTGTTAAAATCTCAAAGAAGATGCCCTCCTGGCTGAGGTGAGATAGATAATTGAGTCCATTCAGGTGAGGGATGTATGAACTCAATGTGTTACACATTTCATGTCTTCACTTTTAGATGTGTTTTTGGTAAAATGAAGCCTCACTGTCACTGGTTCCATATTTTCAGGGCAATCAGTGATAACACCTAGCTGAAGAATTCTGGAGCTGAGCTATTCCCAGAGTAGCTAGGGGATTCGGCAGTAACCAGAACTGGTTAGAAGCCCTGGGCTTTCCTAGCCCTAAAATTTTTCCTAACTCTTCCTCTTCTTGGCTCTTCCCCAGCCCATCCACCTTCCCACTGCCCCAGGTACCCTCCTGTCATCTTGTAGTGCCCAAGAGAGCACCCCAAAAGTCACCTCCCCACCCCTACTTCTGTGAGACTGACATCAAGGGAACTGTCGGTGATGTGTTTGGGGATGTTAAGGTCCAACTTAGGCAGACTTTTTTTTTTTTTTTTTGGCCAGAAATGATATTATAGCTGGTACTTCGGTTTTTAACTGCCATTGGGATTCTTAGTCATGTAGTAATTCAGCCATAAGTGGGTGAATGAGACTTTCATAGGCATGTTTAGGGCTGAGCGCTGTGTATTTTACATGATGGAATGGGAATGCTCAGATGCTCAGTCGTGTCCTACTCTTTGCAATCCCATGGGCTGTAGCCAGCCAGGCTTCTCTGTCTGTGGGATTTTCCAGGTAAGAATACTAGAGTGGGTTGCCATTTCCTTCTCAGGGGATCTTCCCAACCCAGGGATCAAACCTGCATCTTTTGTGGCTCCTGCAGGTGGATTCTTCATCACTAGGGCCACATGGGAATCCATGATGAAATACAAAGTTTCAAAAATTAAAGTTAAAAAAAACTTCAAAATTAAATTTTGAAATGTGATGACATTTTCACCCAGGGAGTATAGCCTATAAATACTGGTATTGCTGGTGGCTCAGACAGTAGAGTCTGCCTGCAATACAGGAAATCAGGGTTTGATCCTGGGTCAGGAAGATCCCCTGGAGAAGGAAATGGCAACCCACTCCAATATTCTTGCCTGAAAAATCCCATTGAAGAGCCTGGCGGGCTACAGTCCATGGGGTCGCAGAGAGTCAGACACGACTGAGCGATCAAGCATATACACCACCCCATCCGCCAGTAGGCACATGCATGGGCATATACCCCGAGAGAAACAAATAGAAAAGTTGCTTTGTCCTTATGTTAACCCGGTAAAAAGGTTGTTAAGTGGCCCATTTTGCAGTTGTGAACATCGAGGCTCTGAGAGTTGAGACCTCTTGCTGGTCTTGGTGTGAACTGGTTAAGGCCCACGCCTTATGATTCGACCCCCAGTGGTGCTTGAGAGGGCTCCCTGACACCCCCGCCAGGTAGGGAGGAAATCACCATGTCGCCTTGAGTCTCCGCTTGTGGTTGTGCCCGGCATCGTGTATACTTTCTCTTGATGTCACATGTATATCACAGGTGCGATTTCCTTGCGGTCTTCAGAGCTGCCTTGCTGACCTTGAACTGACAGGTCCACTCCAATATTCTTGCCTGAAAAATCCCATTGAAGAGCCTGGCGGGCTACAGTCCATGGGGTCGCAGAGAGTCAGACACGACTGAGCGATCAAGCATATACACCACCCCATCCGTCAGTAGGCACGTGCATGGGCATATACCCCGAGAGAAACAAATAGAAAAGTTGCTTTGTCCTTATGTTAACCCAGTAAAAAGGTTGTTAAGTGGCCCATTTTGCAGTTGTGAACATTGAGGCTCTGAGAGTTGAGACCTCTTGCTGGTCTTGGTGTGAACTGGTTAAGGCCCACGCCTTATGATTCGACCCCCAGTGGTGCTTGAGAGGGCTCCCTGACACCCCCGCCAGGTAGGGAGGAAATCACCATGTCGCCTTGAGTCTCCGCTTGTGGTTGTGCCCGGCATCGTGTATACTTTCTCTTGATGTCACATGTATATCACAGGTGCGATTTCCTTGCGGTCTTCAGAGCTGCCTTGCTGACCTTGAACTGACAGGCTTGGTGTGAAGTCTGTGCCGATCCGCTCCCCAGGGAGGCCCTGGCCCAGGCGGTCACCCGCCCTGGGGTGGGGGCAGTCAGGGGAGCCTTCCCGGACCCGGGCTTGGCCGTGCTTTCCCAATGTGAACCCCAGAATCAGCTGCACTCTGCCATCCCACCCTTTCGTGGCTTTGTCTCAGAGCTGAAAGAACCCTGTTTTGCTCTTGGAAACAGACAGAATGGTGGTTGCCAGAGGCTGCAGGGTGGGGGTGAGTGGGAAAATGCTGGTCAAAGGGGACAGACTTCCAGTTTTAAGATGAGTAAGTTCTGAGCATCTCATGTACAGTGGGGTACTGTAGCTAACAATACTGTATTATACAGTTGAAAGTGGCTAAGAGAGCAGATATTAAGTGTTTTCACCGAAAAAAGAAATAAAAAGTAACTGTGAGGCAATGAATATGTTAATTAAAGTGATAATGTACAGTAACCATTTAGCAATGTATATATATATATATTTAAAGTCATCACTTTACATAGATACACTTTTACTTGTCAATTACACCTCATAGAAAACAAAAAATAAACATTAAAACATTTTTAAAAAGGGTAAAAAAAGAGCCCTGTTTAGAAGTCTTTCCTGAGAAGAGACACCTTCTGTCTGATCCACAATGGAATATTGTAGCCTCCTTAAGACCCTTTCAAAATACAATTATTCTTTAAGAACTAAGTTGAAACTAAAAATTAATCATTAAAATGTGTTATTAAAAATAACAAAAGTACAAGTGAGATATCAATGGGCTGTGTATAAAATAAAATTGTTTTATTTTCAGTTTTGTAGCACAAAACACTGACTATGAAGCAATCCACATCACTACTGAGTTTTGTTTTTTGGTTTTTGCCTGATTCATATGTCCCTTGAGTGACAGCTCTTAAATGTTTGGACTTGGGAGTCAGAAGTCGTTATTTGGTTTCTCTTGTTCATTGCTGATGTTTGTTCTTGTCAGAACTGCCCCGTCCTAAAGATGTGACGAATGTTCATGCATGCTTGTATTTGTATCTTTGTTTTCAACATTGCCAAGGTGCTATGGAAAGTTAAAGTTAACACAAAATTAGAAAAAATAAAATTATTCAAAAACAGCAGCAACAAAAACATGTTATTGTGAAGCATTAGCAGGAGGGTGTTTTAAGAAATGTTTTAAAAATTGGCCATGTTAAGTTAGTTTTCTTGTGAATTCAGTGTATGCTTGGTATTATTTAATATGTATTCCTCTCTTTTTTTAATTGCAGCTTGGGCTGACGATAGCCATTCGCTATAGCCACAGGTAGGTAAAGTTACATCTTTTTCTTTTAAGGAGTATCGTTACTGATTTATAGCTTTTCGTTTGCTTGAGTCTGCATGTTTCTGACCTTAATTTTGTTGTCTGCTATACCACAATGTCAGAGCATAGTAATTAGATAAAATGGATCTAGTTGCTGATTGGTGAGAGTTCATCACTATTTGAGGAGTAAGATTTTTATGTAAAAGTGGTGGTAGATAGGTCACTTCTTTCAACACCAAAAATGTAATGCCCCAGGGCTGGGATACAGAGGTGACTTCTGAGAGTGGGCTCTAAGGGTGAGCACTGGAGACGGGGTGTCCTGCATCAGAGATGAGGCCGGAAAGCCAGGTGAGGGCTTCTTAACGAAGTCCTTGCCCCTCACTGCAGAGCCCGCTGACTCCTGCCTTGGGTCCATCTGAGAATGAATCAAAGTCCCTCTTTTTGTTTTGTTTTGTGATGCATGTGATAAACATGCATCATGTTTATCAAAAACATTCGTTTCTTGTTCTTGTATTAACCTTTCCCCTTTGCATGCATCAAAATGTATTAAGATGCCGAATTAATTAAGACAGCCCAGCGGAGAGGCAGTAAGCACATCCCTGTTGCTACTCATGGGACAGGCCAGTCAGTTGAGGCCAGTGTTGGGCAAGGAAGAGTGACTGAGATCAGAAAGCCAGAAGACTGCCAAGGTGGTGGACTGGTGTCCCAAAGAGTCATTTACCCTGGTTATAGTTCAGTCTTCTTTAATACTAAAAGGAGCCAGGGGCTGGAGGTTGTTGTTGGCTGGTGTTTACAAGATTCTTGGTGCTGGAATCCTTTGTGCTTGCAGCTGTCAGTAGGTCAGGCCTCAGTGTTCCTGTAGACCTCCAACAAGACAAATGGTTATTCTCTGTTCTGCAACTTCTTATCTCTATAGGAATGGGAAAGTGTTATACCTTTAAAGGTCAGAGCCTTAAAAATGGGCTACCCTGTATATTTCAGGCTATAAGCAACATTCTTTTAATGATTAACTTGTAGCAAAAGCAGCAGGATATAAAAGTGAAAGTAAAAGAAACAGATCCAACATGGAGTCAGATTTGCTCTCCCTGTCACATCTTCACGGGGTTGGAGTTTAAGGCTGCACCACCTGCCTCTTGCCCCATTGCCTCTGCCCTGTCTCTGGGGCCAGTGGGCACAGAAGGGATCAGCCTTCCCTCCCAGATGCCTGCAGGTCACCGTGTTGCCTGGTGCTGTCTCTTCTGCTCCTCCAGCCACTGGCTCTGTTATCCACCTCCGTCCTCTGGAGGTGGAGGGTGATGAAGGGAGTGGGTTTCCGGTTGAATCCTTTCTTTAGAAATCCAACTAGCTTATTTAGAGTACTTGAAACTTCTATCCTTTTGTTGATCACTTTTTTTTTTAATGTGTGTAAATTATATCTAAGATAGATTTTTGCCATTTTATTTATATATTTATTTGCTTATTGAAGTGTGCTTAATTTACAATGTTAGTTTCAAGTATACAGCACATTGATTCAGTTATATATACATATGGTTGTATATTTCTTTTTCAGATTCTTTTCCACTATAGGTTATTATAAGATACTGAGTATACTCCCTTGTGCTATGCAGGAGGACCTTGTTGGCTGTCTATTTTATGTATAGTAATTTGTATCTGCCAGCCCCACATTCTTAATTTATCACTCCCCTGCTTTTGTAGCCATAAGTTTGTTTTCTATGTTTGAATCTATTTCTATTTTGCAAATAAATTTATTTTTTTGTACGGGAGTACAGATATCTCTTTGCAACTTTGCTTTCTATTCTTTTGGGTGGAATTGGTGGGTCATATGGTAATTCTATTTTTAGACTGTTGAAGAGCTTCTGTACTGTTTTCCTGTTTACTGCTTTTTTAATTTTAATTTTTTTTACATTTTCTGTTTTTATCTTTTTAATCAAAGTGTAGTTGCTGTACAGTATTATGTAAGTTACAGGTGTACAAAATAGTGTTTCATAATTTTTAAAGGTTATACTCCATTTATAGTTACTATAAAATATTGGCTATATTCCTTGTGTTGTGGAATACATCCTTGTAGTTTATCTTATTTTCAGTTTAATTTTTGTCTTATGTTATAGTTTGACAATGCCGTGTTAGTCCCCAGAGCACAGCAAAGTGACCCAGCTACACACACACACATGTTCATGGGGCTGTGCCTTGTGTCTGCACAGTTCTTGGTCACTTCAGGAGCTCACAGTTGCTGTTGGGAAATGATTTCCATTTCTCTTGTTGCGTTTGCCCAAAACCCAGATGACAGAATTGAGGTTTTCCTTGGTCTTCCTTGTGTGGATAGGGATATTTTGGGAAACAAGGTTTGGGACTTTAGGTTCTAATCACCAGGTCTCTTTCCAGAATTCTAACGGGAGGGCCATATGGGGGCTTCCCACGTGGCTCAGTGGTAAAGAAGCCACCTGCCAGTGCAGAAGACGTGGGTTCGATCCCTGGGTCGAGATCTCCCTGGAGTGGGAAATGGCAACTGACTCCAGTATTCTTGCCTGAAAAATTCCATGGACAGAGGAGCCTGGCAGGCTACAGTCCTTGGGGTCCCAAAGAGTTGGACACGACTGAGAGGCTGATCACATACAAACACAACAGGAGAGCCAGGGCCAAGCGAGGTGGAAGAGAAACCCTAGCAGACAACCTCAGTGGATGGAGGTGAGATAGAGGGGAGGGAGGAGGCAAACATAGTTCCAAGGGGCTGCTTTTGGGAGGACGTTCCTCAGTATGAAGAGGCACAGGCTAGGGGGCTTTAAAGGATTTGAATGTGGGAGGGGAAGGGCCCCGCTAAAATCTGATAACCCTGTGAGTGGGCAGAACCTCTTAGGCTGCTGCAGACACATGGGGCCAGAGCTGCCTGGAGCCAGAGGGGCTCTTGTGTGGCGAGAAAGGGGCTTGAGGCTCAAAGGATGCTGGTTTTGTTTCTATGCATCTGCACTGGTGCCTCGGCTCTCAGATCTCTCGTTATTAATACCATGCACAGTGTTCAGAGTTAGGACCCCTCAACCCTACGCCCAGCTCTACACTAATGCACACAACCATCCCCACTTCTGCCCCAGGCATCGTTCAGCTTCGAACTCCTGCTACACCTGTTACTCTAGACCTGTGTGTGTGGTATAGGAGTGCGTGCGTGTCCGTGTGTGTGTGTGTGTGTGTGTGTGTGTGTGATGTGGTGTAGGATAGAGGGCTGAGGAGCTGGGAAGGTGGAAAGTGACATCATCATATTCCTACCATATAGATGTACCGAGCAAGGAAGAGCAAAAGCCGTGACCGACCGTGCCTTTGACAGCAGATCCGGCGCTCATTTCATTTATTGTCATGGCGTTTTAGTTTATTTGTGTAAAGTCATGGCATTTTCACAGAGTGGAAACTTGTGTCTTGCTGCTCACTCCCCACTGTTTGGCTTGAGGTTTTCGGGTGGAATCCACACCGCGGTAGCAGCTGGGTAACCCCCAGAAGTGCCCTTTGCAGATAACAGCTTAGGGGCCCCGCCGCCCACGCAGTGGGGAATTGTTCCCCCTGTGTGGGTGTTTTGTTTTTTCTTTTTGTGCAAGACTGAAAGAGTGTTCAGCTGTTCTTCCTGCCTGTCCCAGGGCAGCAGCCTGAGGATTCCTGCTCCCTCTTGGTGGGAACCCCTGGGCCAAGGTGAACCGGGTTCAAGAGGGGTCCACTCGCCTTTGGCTCTCATTCTCTGATAATGATGGCGAGCTCGCGTGTACCAGCAGCAGGGAGGTTTTGCACGTGGTGCTCATGACCATATTTCTAAGAAAGGCTCATGAAAATATGGTATGAGAGCAGCAAAGTGACCCCCGACAGAATTATTTTGTTTTGTTTTAATGTTTTGTCTTTTTTAAATAAATGAGAAGGGGTGGCTGGATCTAGAGATGATCATACTAAGTGAAGTCAGTCAGACTGAGACAAATACCGTATGATATCACTTTGTGGACTCTAAAATATGGCACAAATGAACTTATTTACAAAGCAGAAGCAGATTCACAGACATAGAGAACAGACTTGCGGTCACCAAAGGGATAATGGGGGTAAGGGAGGGATAAACTAGGAGTTTGGGTTCAGCAGAGGCAAACCGCTGTGCATAAAACAGATAAACAACAAGCTTCTACTGATAGCACAGGAAAGCTATATTCAATATCTGGAAATAAACTATAATAGAAAGGAATATGAAGAAGAATGTTTATACACACATATATATGAATTGCTTTGCCATGCACCAGAAACCAACACAACATTGTAAATCAACTATTACTTCAATATAAAGAAATATATGAGGAAGGAAGGGAAGTTTTCATTTGTCTTGTTTTAGTTAAATGGAAAGCCACAGAGTTTTGACCCTTAGATGCAGACTAAAAAATAGGGCTTCCCTGATGGCTCAGTGGTAAAGAATCCGCCTGCAATGCAGGAGACACGGGTTCTACCCCTGGGTCAGGAAGATCCCCTGGAGAAGGAAATGACAACCCACTCCTGCATCCTTGCCTGGGAAATCCCATGAACAGAGGAGCCTGGTGGACCTACAGTGCATGGGGTCACAAAGAGGCAAACAGGACTTAGACACCAAACCACCACCAAAGGTGTATCATTTTCACAGCTGACTTCTTTCTGTCAATTTCTTTGATAGAATCAGTACTCCATTCAGGCCTGTGCTCTAAGCCTGATCTTAGAGTTGAAGGTACCAACCCCCTAAAAGCCTTTGAGGTCCCCTGAGGGCTGGTGAGGGCAGGGAGAATGGGAGACTTGATTGTGATTAGTCCCAGAGGGTGAGCGAGTTGGCAGCGGCAGCTTGATCAGTTCAGAGCTGGACTGAGGTGGGCGTGGCCTCTCACAGAAAAGGCCGAAACCGTGATTACAGGTTATTCCCAGACTGCCTTCAGGTATTGGTTTTGAATGAGCCCACGGGGGCCAAGCAGGAAGTGAAGGTGTCATGTACTTTCGTATTCTGATTTAGATTAGAAGAGTTTGAA